GGATGCTGAAGACGTATTCACTTGGTGGAAAACTGGCTGGCTCCGCCCAAGTTCTGTCTCCCTCACGCGACCCAACGTCCGCAGCGAACAATACTGAGAAACTGTACTTGCAAGTTCCATACAGGTTCTTCATATTTCGTTATTCGTGTTTCTTCAAGCCTGTACGAGATGGATGGCTTTATTATTAGGCCTACGTTTTGGCGTCAGGCGTCTTCACCCTTGTCAGACCCTGAATTTGACAAAAAAAACGGGCATGACTCGCCCGCTCAAGCGCCTCAACAATCCTAGACAACTTCTTTAGACCAGTTAAGCATCCAACGATATCGATCAATAAAGTTATAACTCAGCGTCCTCAGCGAAACCTCCGTAAAGAAGATGCGCTAGATCAGGCAAAGTGGCGCTTGTCGATCCGAAGAAAGGACTCTGCACCAGCGGGACAACGTTAGGATGAAGAAGAAGAAGAATTTTGGCTCATCTTAATCAGCCGCCGCGATGCGAAGGTCGACCACCCTGAGGAACACTTAACCGTGAAGTAACTATTACTATTTACCCTCCTCGACCTCACGGTAGATCGAAATTTGCAAATGTCGAGAGGTAGCGTCAGCTCGCTGGTTAGGCAGCGTTCAGACTTGTAGCGCTACGCCGCGCTACAGCTGTACCAAACTCCAGGTTCCCTTTTATGTTTTTCTTTCTGAATTCAATCCCCTTTTCTCATGTTTATCTGATCCTGAGCTCCTTTTTTAAACACTGAATTTTGATGTAGTTTTGATACAGAACACTGTGATGATTGATTTTATATATCGTTGTCGACTTTAATTATCCAGACTCAGGATTGCTATTGATGTTTGATGTCTTGCAGTGGTGCGTCATGTTGATCCCGATTGCGAAATTGTTCAATCAATTTCAATTGCTCAATCAAAACATCAAAATTCAGTGTTAAAGAAAAAAAGGAGCTCAGGATCAGATAAACATGAGAAACAAGAGAAGGGATTGAATTCAGAAAGAAAAAACATAAAGGGAACCTGGAGTTTGGTACAGCTGTAGCGCTACAAGTCCGAACGCTGCCTTATGGCCACACACTCCCTTTCTATTCATCTGAGCGTCTTTTGTGGTAGCCAGAATGCCTCCAATGTCTTACGAGCTGTGCTCGGCCTCCGCGCTAATATGGTCACCGACATGTCGTGCCTCCATGATACTGAACCCGATGGGCTCGAAGCGGCATAAGTGCGAAGTCCCTCTCCATGTTCTTTGACCCACATGCGGAAAGCACGACCTATTTCCCCTATATACTCATTCCACAACTTTGGCAGTGTATGCAGCGGATAATTGCCAACTTTATGCAGTTAAAAAAGTATAAGGTAGATAGATAGCTAGGCGGAGGTGGTGTAGTGACAAGTGGCGCGCTTACCACTCGCGCGGCGCCGGGTTCGAATCCCGGGTCGACTCCCGCCCAGGCCAACCAAGCCTTCTACCCTCCGGGGACGGTAAATTGGTACCAGATTCATCGGGTGGCCACCGCAAGTCATTGTATAGGCCACATCGCATCAGTAAGCCACTATGAATGGAAGTAGAATGCGTGCCGCATCCCACAAAGGGATTGATCAACGGCGAAGACTTTATCCTTTTCCTTTTTTATGCAGTTACCAGTATTCATAGAAGCTGTTTTAATGAAGTAATGAGAAGATTAAATCATATCTATATTTAAATGTGATGAACCAAATACGAAATAGTTGATTTGCAGATGTGACAGAGCAAATAACGATGTAGAAAATCGGCGGCCGGAAATTTGCTCTTGTTTCCTGAACGTGCACGTCTGTGAAAACGGAACTATAATTGTCCATGGATGTTTCGGTCATATTGGTCACAAGCTCGATATCAGAATCCGTAGTCTATCAAAAGACGAAGAGCTTCTTATAAAAGATCTTTTAGAAGGTGTGGAATTATTGTTCTTTCTAGGGCTGCGTTCAAACTTCATCAACGTCCACATACTTTTTGACGGGGCACATCATTGGTTGGGGGTTTTAGTCGACTCCGTACGACCCCCCCCCGGCCCTCTGTCCCTCCTCATCGAATCGAGCCGTCGAGCGGGGAGGGGGGGGGGGAAATAGCACATGTGAAACAGGAAAAGCCGCGAGACCCAATTCTCAAATTTTCCCCAAAATCCTGCCACTTTTTCCAAAATTTCTGAGAACTTCCCTACTTTCCTCAAAAATTTTGCTGTCGAGCGGGAGGGGGGAGGGGGGTATATAGTACGCATGAAACAGGAAAATCACGAAAAGTCAACCACCACTCCTAGAAAGGCCAGAAAGTAAATACGACCCCCCTCCCAACAGTGAATGAGCAAGTACGACCCCCTCCCCTTCTAGTGAAGCGAGAAATCAACTATCAAAATAAATTTTTCTCAGCCCAAATACGACCTGCTCTCCTGGCGGCGAAATACGGCCCCCTGTTGGGGATTCTCCAACAACGATGTGCCCTGCTTTTCGAGCGTACGCCAGCGCCAGCGAAAGTGTGAGTATCGATCTACCGAAGGCCAGCGTCCATCGGCGTACAGCAGCGTTTTCGCGGGCACTTTAATCTTGAGAAAACAGTCCGCGAAAAGGCTGCTGTGCACTCGTGAACATCGGCGAACGCTGGTGAACGCTGGCGCAGGGTGTGAATGCCTAAATCAAATCACTATTATGATTATTGAGTGGGGAGCAGTCCGCGTGCGTTCTATTTCTGTAGTAGGCACAGTACTTGACTAAGAACAAGCTATTAGGTTGACCGGAAAGTTTCCCGCCATTGAATTGGTGAGGAATCCAACGGCCAAGCTTTGCGACTTTACCAATCTTCTCCAGCCCAGATTCAACAGTTGATTGGGCATGGCCGAGCATCGCTGCAAGTTCCCTGGTAGTGGCGTACGGATCCTCTTCCACGGTGGATTGCAGCAACTTCAAGTCTAACTCCATCGGCCGGCCGGACCTTGGACGCATCTTGGGGAGAAAAATCTCCTTTCTTGAACTTGGCCATAGAGGTCTTGCACGTGACGTAAGAGATAGCGT